GTTGCTATCATTTCTTTGCCTGCTTAGGTGTACGACAGAATTCTAAGCCTTAAACTTCTCCACCTGGTTCCCGCCCTTCCCTTTTTTGGGAGTCACCTCACTCTTCATGCTCTCCCTGCTGATTTTTTTGGTCTCTGGGCTGTGCCCAAACTGACTCACAGATTCTGGTTTTGATCGTGCTTACGTCCTTACCCTTGTAGAGTCCCTTTGCTTTTAAAGAAGTTCTGTTGCTGCGCTTTGACTTTATAGTTCTTCGCATCGGCCAGACACCTTATCAACATCTTTTGTTTCCAGTCCGCCAACAGAGACACACAACCTGCCAAATAAGCAACCAATGACCGTCCCCAATACTACTCAGCTTATATTGTCCTAAAGAGAATTGAGTTCAGAGGTTCTCAGCTTTTCGGTACTTATGCTTCTCAAACGTAATTCTGATTTTCGCTGGGAATACCTTTTGGTAGTCTTACTCACCCGCCAGATCTCCTAAAATGTGATATCACTTCTGAAGGGATAAGTGGAATTTTTCCTAACCAATCACCTCTTTACTTCATTTGATGTCGATTTCTGTGACTTATGAAAGAGTGGGAGAAAACGGAGTTGACGGAACAGAACACCTTTCGTACAGGCACAGTTCACGATAATTTTGGGGTGTCCAGTCTTTGACGAATAGTTGAAATTATGGCCAAGAATAGTGCGAAAAAGGCGAAGAGAAAGCGAAAACCGGCGATTTTGAGAAATGTGATGTAATGGCTTTAAAAAGAAAGTGAAATTAGGGGCTGTACGAGAATATGACTACAAAAGTTGCATGGAAGCAGAGTTTGGACGAGCTATTCTAATATGCGCGCCATTGCAAACACCTGGTTGCAGTAAGCTGCCTACGTGTAATGTGTGGGTCCCGGTGCGAATGGTACAACGTCTGCAGCTTTTATAACGCCTAGGAACTCGTCCGCCATGGATGTTTAGGCCGGCTAAGCTCGTTTTGAGACCCATATAACGCCAAAGCTTGGCCGTTTTTTGACCCGACAGAGTCCATCAGGCTCTCCTTGGGGCCACAGTTTTATTCCAGAGGAAAACTTAGGATTCATATTTATCGTGAACGGTTTTTTAAGGTCAGTCAGGAATTAATTTTGGCAAAGCGATGACATTATTCCAATAGCCATCAACGAAACAGTCCAAGCAAGGATTGTAGCAAGCATTTGTAAGCGGTACCTATAAAGCCGTTAGAAGAGGGCCAAATAGAAAATGCTCATCTTCATGGCAATGGAACGCGTTCGTTCGAGAACCGCTCTCATCAACAACTCAATCGCAGCACATTTCAGCAGACGATCTGAAGCACTCAACTTGAAGTGTGAATCACTTCGCAGAAGAGGCAGTGACGAACCCCCTTATCAAAGGAATTGAAGCTGCATCATGACAATACAGCAGTGAAGCATGGCATTTTTAGTTTTGATGCAGTTCTCAAAGAAAAGGTGAATCCCGAGAAATCAACTTCGAGAATTCTAAGAGCTGAAGTGCAAGTCGTTGAGCGTTCTCTTTGAGTTGCCCTCTTCAAGTATCTATAGCAAGTATAAGTATCTTTATATGTACCTAGTGCCTAGGTACAACCTGAGGTAAATCGTGGCAACTCACCTACCTTGACCACACCCTCGAGTAGGACTAGAAAAGCTAGGAAGGTCTTGACCGACCGACCAATGAATGGGGCTCTACTGGCCACTGTTGACAACACTTAACAGATTACGGTCACGACCGCGTAAGCGGTATTCATCGATGTTCAGCGTTGTCAATACGTGACCAGCAACACCGTCGGTCGGTGAAACCATGCACGTCGTTGAACTTCTAAAGAACCCAGTAGTGCTCTTCGGGCATGCCCTTCCATGATGGTCATCCAAAGAAAAAACGCACAGCACAGCACAACATAAAAACTACAGCAAGATCAGCAAAACTCCTTTCCCAACCCACCCCGTGGTCAAGGCGGGCTATGATTATAGGAATAAATTTCAGTAGTGTTTACTTTACTCTGAGCATCATTACCCTGAATGACCCTGATCCCGGAATGGAATTCTCAAAAGCGAGCGAAGGGTAAAGGCTATCCGAGCGCGTTGCAGCTGCCCTCAGAAGGCCAGTTCACTGGAAGCAATCTACTGATAAAAGCATAACTTGTAAGAAGAAATTGATAAAGCGTTTATAGAAGATCCCATCAAAGGCGCTCCAGAGGGCACCCATTCCCTAAGTTTGTGCGCAAAGCAAGGGATTCTAACCATTAAAATGACACAACAGTCTGTAAAAAGCAATGAGAATCGACCAAAAAATGGGAGCTTGTTGTTAGGGAGGCAGATTCTGATGGAGCGACTGCTTACATGAGTGATTCCATGGCTGATTGGCGCATGCTATACTTCCTCTCTAGCCCCGTTGGGCCTGGCACAAACTTTTTACACGCGATATGTAGATTAACTAAGTCTGGAACCATTCTTTCACTTGTTCACGGATAAATGGATAGGGGCAGCAGAGTTGAAATCGGATCTACGAAGCTTTGAATTCCATAAAAAATGACACATCGATCTCTCAGAGAGCATGAGAGGACGAGTCTCAACGGTGTTCGAGAGGCAGCACTATCTCAAGGGGCTCCCATGTTAGAAGCTCAAACAGCTTGCCATGACCCATGGCGACAGTGCAAGGCGTTTCAGACAAATTGGGCTTGATGTAGTCAGCTCTTCACGTATTCCTAACAACTGAAATCTGGTCCGAATACACCTTCAATGGCATTTCCGCCGGTAATCTCGTACAACCTCGTTTATCGTGAACTGTGCCTTTAAGATAAATGGGGTGTCATGCTCGCTACTGCTGTAAAGGCTTGGTCTGCTTGTGAAGTAAAGGCTTGATCAGAAATGAGACTGAGCGAGTGGGTTTTCAAGAATAAAATGAACGCAGGCGTCTTTAATCCGGGAACAGACTGAGAAGAAGGGTTTTTAAAAACTTTCGACTTCCAAATTACACTCATAGCATGGACATGCAGTCAGTCACATTATTATATCATTTCGAGAGTAGTTAAAAATCCGGAAATGTGTTATTTTGGTCTTTGTTGGGCGTTTTCGGAACGTTTCCAGAGTTTCCCTTTGCCAATAAAATTGTGAACAGCCATTTATTACGAAAGACCATTGAATACATATGACACTCTGTCTAGGAATGATCACAAAGAAACCGCACTGATCGGCGAACATGGGAACAGAAATCAGTTGTATTTTGATATGACATCCTTCCTTCCCTCCCACTCCTTTCCACAGGCTTTTTTTTNNNTTCTCTCTGATGAGTTTCTTCGAGTGTATAAAGAGAATTCTCTGACTATCCGCAGTTTATTAACTAAGATGGGTTACTTGGACCCAAGTGCCCCGCCCCTCCCCCCCTCCCCATCTTGGTGTTAAACGTGTCCGTGCCGTGACCCGTAAATTTTTTGAAGTGTTTGAGAGAATTTCGCATATTTTAATCGTAGTCCATATTTTTTCTGAAGTTTTCTGAAAAATCCCTTGAAAGCCCTACATAAGGACATTCCTTACTCACTTATGTGTGCGTAACATATCGGCTACTTCTTCCTTACCTGAACACCCTTACAACGTCCGGAGGTCTTCCCATTCTCGGTACGCATTTCTTACAAGTTCGAATTCGTTCACTTTACTGCAGAGGCCCATAGAAACTTATGCCGAGCATTTGGGCACTTGAAAGCCTCTTCTAAAGGGTCATGTGCTTCCCTTGTTCCATCGCTTCAAAGCCGAAGGTAGAACTGTGTCACTCTCGCCTATCTATGTACGATATCGTGCATATGTTACACGCATTCAAACGAGTAAAGATTGATATCTTGAGACTTTTAGGAACCTTCCATCTAGCCTTTTGTGAGATTTTGTGCAGATACTTTCTGCCCACTCTGATAGAAAACGTTCTGATTGAAGAGTAATTCATTTCTTGTTGATCACTAAAAGTGACAGTGCTGTGAATTCACAGCAGGTTTTACAGTTTACGTTCCAAAATCAACTATTTTGTCAGGGAACAGTGATCCACATCATTTTCTGTTCGAATTGATTCGAATGGTCTCACTTTAAACAACTAGCTAAAAAACACCTCATGCGAACATACTGGGCGGAGTTAGTTCACCTGACCCTGCCCGATCCAGCTACTTTCTCCTGCATCGAGTAAAAAAGGTGGCAGATTCATTTCGAATATCATTCCAGTTGGATCTGACTTCTTTTGAATAACTGCTGCCAAAATTGATCTGCCTGTGGTCCTGAAAGGTGGTCCAAACTGCCACATTTGTGGGATGGGAGATAAGTGGTCAGTGGTCTCTTTAACTACTTAAGCTCCTTCATGTTGTAAACAATCGCATGGTTTTTCACTTTAACAAAAAACACGGTATATGTAATCAAAATTAATTTTATTTTTTTCAAGCTTTCTGACGAAGTTCAGTTGAAATTTACTTTCAAGTTATTAAATCATGAAGCCATCACAAGTGGTAACCAACATAGAACTATTCCTTATCAAGGCGCAGAAATGAGCCGTATGCCCAGATATAAATGTAAACGTGCAGAACGCACGTTACCGCCTAGATACTTATAGTAGACGAAAATACAAGAAAGAATTAATCAAAATTAAAGATACTATAAAATAATGGAAATCTAAAAGATAGAATGACAAAACATCAACTACGAATGATCACGAATAAACAGCACTGATAGGTGAACGATATAAAACACAAATAGGAAAGATTTCAAAACTTCTTGCAAAAGACAAATATCAACAACAAACGAAAGCTGTACGACGCACAACAAAGCGAAAACCTTACGCATCGCCGATGGTGAGAATGATGAACGGGCAAGGCGGAGAAATCATAACCGATCGCACAGGGAACGTAATACATGAACAGGAACGTTGAAACACTGGTCACAAACTACAGCTATGGCAGTAACAATTATAATAAACGGAGCAATCAACAACTAACAAGGAAGCGATTTAAGTTACTTCCGCTGAGGCAAACGTCGCCGAGCAGCCACCATCTTACGAGTGCCACTAGATCTGAACAAAGCGAAAATGAGTTGAAGATCAGGCAATCGAAGAAGAAACCTACGTAAAGGAGAAATTGGAGCTCGGCGCAGCTGGAGCGGTAATACCAGGGATTTGGAAGGCTGCAATGAACGTATTATTTAGTTTTCTATTGGCAAACCAATCACTTACTACTCCTTACTTGGTGCAGCGGGAGCAGACGGCTGAGAAGAGCCGAATTGAAAGGGAGTAGAACCACTGAATGCGTTCGTTTGCCCAAATTGGAATGTTGGCTCGGGTATAGTGGTACCAAATTGGAAGGGTCTGGAACAAAAACAGCTGAGAATAGCTTCACGACTATACTCACAAGAGTAAGCTGAATAACCTACTTGGACGTGTCGGCTACATTTGAAACACTTCCAAAAACTGAAGGGGCTGATGATGTAGATGGTAAGGATGAGATTGATGAAGCCGAGGGATTTGCAGTATTGAATGCTCCAAATGCATTACTACAACAGATCTTATAGAATAAAGTTCGTGCTTACGGGGGCCGATCATTAATCTACCTGCTTGAACCGAAGTTGAAAGATAGGCCACCGTTCGTAGCGGGAGCGGCAGTCGCAGCATTTGAGCCAAAGAGCGGTTTATTCAAAGAGTTGGTCGAAGCACCAAAAAGAGGCGCTTTGAGAGTTTCGCCAGACCCTGGTAGAGCTCCTCCAAACGGAGCCGGCTTAAAGTTTTCAGTAGAACCACCGACGTTAGCAGCAAAAGGTTTGGAATCCGACGTATTTCCAAACGTCGAGAACAGCGGTTTTGCAGTCAAGCTAGCTCCAAACAAACTTGGGCCTGACGAGGATCCAGTCAAAGCTAGAAAAATTCGATGATAACAACTTGATAAAACCAAAGTAATTTGACAATACTTACAATTTCCGGTAGCTACCGTGTTTGTTTGTGTGTTTGATGACGTGCCGAGAATACCAGAAGCAGACGAAACTTGTTCAGTCGTAGTTGGCCCATTTCCAAATGTGAGCCCACTTCCGAATAGCGGAGCTTTCGTAGAGTTTTCATCCTTCTTACTTTCAAAAACATTCAAAGGTTTGGAACCGTTTGTAGTTGCTCCGAAAACAAAAGGAGTAGGAGCGGTGGTAGAAGCTGCACGTGAATCGCTGGCTGAAGTTGTTGTCGGAGCAGGTGCGGTTGAAGACGATGCTGTCAGCAATGATCCGGTGGAATGAGAGGTGTTGAACAAGGACGATGATGAGGAACCAAACAAGGGAGGCTTCGCTCCGGCACCAAAGATTGCGGCACCAGCCCTGAAATCGAACACAGAATGTAATCAAGCTATCAAACACAACTCTACAGTGATCGTACTCTATCGTACTCCTACACAATGATCCCCTACAGAAACAATCACATAAATTAATATTCGGGATACATTCTCTCTCGCTCTCTTTCCAACAACATCCAACTTCCAATTACTATATATCAACGAAACCTAGAAATTCAAGTCTTCTATCGCAATCGCTATCCCTTATTTACAGTGTTTATAAGTTGTTAAGACCACAGACCGTTGTGGCCCAATTTATTTTGGGCTCAGTGAATGAAGCGATTATTTCGAACTATACAAATTGAGATCACACAGAAGAGCTATATATTTCTGAAGTCGGGGAATATACAAGAGAGAGAGAGAGAGTGGCAGTAACTCTGTAATTACAATCAGTCCAACTAAAGGCTTAACATTCTTTCTACACTCAGATACTATGGGCAAAGGAACCATTCGGCATTTGCTGGAGCAAAACCGCAGAGGTGTTATGGTAATCAGCATACCTGAGACATTCTCAACCTTAATCAATTATTTTCCAATTTAGGAACTTGGAACCGACATATGAGCTCTCGTCAAGACACTGCTTACTGCTAACCTGCTTCATAACATCTAACGAGTGGTTGTCAAATGTCAGCATTGCTGATTTCAAAGCAAATCCTGATCGCTGTAGGCGAAACTGTATGGGTCTTTACGGTCCTCTACCCTGTGCCTAGTAGCTTAACCCCATACCGTGCCTAGCAAGGTGGTTTCGATGTGAAGCTTCATAAATTGCGCTACCATACAGATAAGAACGATGACATGACGTTTTACAGAAAGCGGAGATCGCACTGTTCTAATAGTTAATAGTTAATAGTTAGTTAATTTTAAACGTAAGTTATGTAACAAATGCCCTGGCTTTGAAATCGGCTTCACTAAAGTTCAGGCTGTGCACACTCAATACTTCATAATGTTTATGCTTACCCCAAGGAAAAAGACGGTGGCTGGCTTGGCTTTGTTTGATCAGCTTTCCCTATCGTACTCTCGAATGCAGCTGAAAATAATGAACGATTTGAATTCGAATGAGCAGAATTCGCGAGTGGTAATCAATGGTGCACCAAAAGAAATTCTCACGAGTTGATGTCGTCTTCGTAATAGATATTTCCTTCGCAGGTGCTGTAGAGAATGCAGAGGAGGAAACGACTGCAGATGCAGAGCTCGTTTCGGTGCTATTCGCCACGGTTTTCGGTTCCTGCTGAGCGATAACTGGCTTTTCGCTAGCACCGAACCCAAATTTGACAGCAGGAGCAGCTCCAGATGTAGCAGTAGCACTACTCGGAGCGCCAAACCCGAATGAAACTGAAAAAAGAAAGTCACGAACGCCGAATAAGGAAGATATCAAATGACAAAGCCTAAGATGTGACATTAAAAATTGAATAATTAAACATACTGTGACATTGAGAACTTTAAAAAGGGAGAGGCAAATGGGTCTTTCACTAGGTGCGCGACAAATTATGAGCGATTCGACCGCTTTTAACGTTTCCCTTTGGAGCGATTAATTGTAAAGCAGGTCAAGTCGCCCGTTATTTTAGAAATCATTTTATCGAAGTCACGTTCTGCCATACCATGGAATATCGTAAACCCTTTATCAGAGTATTACATTTAATTTTTGAAAATAATTACGACATTGACCGATAGAGAGGACGAAGAAAAGGAAAACGTTCATTCACTAAACCAGAAACCAAGCTGATTCTACTCTTTTGCGCATCAAAGTGACTAGTTTTGAAATTGTCGTGTAATGTACTGTGTGGCAACCATGAAGAACGAACCGCTAAGCTTCCAGTGAGAAGTCTCGAAATGGTCCCAGAATTTCGATATTTACCCGAATTAACAGATAATCAGGAGTAATGTTGACACACCACGTTGTTTTGGTAATATTCTCTCACCTCATACTTTCTGCCCAGAACTAAAATCTGTCATGACGTACTGAGTTGGCGAAGTAGTCTAGTCAGTCTCCCAATTCCTACTTTTTTTGTTCTGCATATAATGATAACCGTAACAATACCGTCACCACTGTTCACCACCTGCGATGTCTCATGATCGAGTAAGCATTCCTCTTTTCAAGAGTCCCATTGGTTGAGAACCATTCGGCCAGCTCTTGCTGGGCGAGCCTCCTTGATTATACAGATCAAAATGCGAAGGATTGATGCTCTCCCCTCTCGACTTTATCTGACAGCATTCACGAGTTTTTGAAGCCTAGGGCGTAAAGAATGATAAAGACCATTCTTCTTACAACACAGTACAGAATCACTTGAATATCACAGGCAACAAGGATCTTCTAGACTGTGTGATGTACCTGCCCTTCGATGCCGATTCGTCATTGTATGGAATTTAAACCGAGTCTCGTTTCTATGAAGCCGCCTTACTGAACTAATTCGCGTATCTTACGGCAGAGAATTCTCCAAAAACCGTTGCTCCCAATCACCAAACCAAAATGTACTAGCTAACCAATCTACGAAAATACTTTCTAGCTGCGTAGCCCGCGTGGTAATTACCAGATTTCTCTTTTGCAATCAAAAAAGCGGCGTAGTTGAAAAAAATAGAAGTCATCTTTCTGTCATGCCGTGCTTATCGCCCTTTGAAAAACACAGGGTTTAGGTGATGGTGGTACAACAAGCCAAGCAAAAGGAAGAAAGCAGAAAGAAGAAAATTCCAGAACGAACTACTCTGTACGGACTACATATCTTTCTATAGAAGAAACATTTCACTGTGTTCTTGACATGAACAGAGCGGGGAAACCTTTCCAGTGCTACTATAGCTTGCCTCCCGTAATAAGCTCCTCGTCACTTCTGCCTCTATCAGTACACTCCCCAAATCGCAACGTTTTGACTTATCAATTTCTGCGCCACTATCACGTACCAGTGGAAATTCCTCGAAAGAAAAAAGAAAAAACATTTAGTAAATAAGCACGCTGCGCTAGTTTTATAAAAATGGAATATTTTGAAAGAAGATAAAAAAAATAGATGAAAAGCGGCGAAGGTATAGTGATCGTTTTTGACAGGAGCTAGAATAAACTAAAAGGCATGGTTCACGATATTTTTGGGTAAGCCAGATTATGACTTGGGTAAGCCAGATTATGACAAAAAATAGAAGATAAGATGGAAAATTGTGCGATGGAGGCGAAGGAAATGCGTAGATCGGTGTTTTCGAAGTGAAAAAAGGCTTCGAAAAATCGTTAAAAAAGGGGCTGGACGAGAATGAAGCCAGAAGAATGAAGAAAAGTGGGGCGTTTGGACGAGCTACGCACAGTGCGTCATAGCGCACGTGTGGGTCCTGGTGCAAATAACTGTCTACGGTAAGCAAAATTCATCCGCTCACAAGCATAAGTAAACAAAAAACCTTAGGCACAGCAAAAACAGCTCACCTTCATCAGTCTCTTGGGAAGAAAATCAAAAAATGGATCGCGTCAGCAAAAAAAAAAAAAGGAATGGGAAAAAACATCGCCTCATCATTCGGCGATAAGTTGGTTGTCTGTGGTTTTAAAAGGAATATTTACAATCTGTATTGCCCCAGCACTCGTCTGACATCGATCAAGAGGTGGGAAAACAACTCAAGACAGGAACAGTGCTCCAACTATGCCTTGACCGTTGAGATTTTGGGAGCGAGAGGGTCTCTTCTAAAACCCATGGGGGCCACTGAGTATTCCTAAGGGAAGAACTCAGTAACCGTTTTTATCGTGAACCGTGCCTTTGAAACACTTGGCGACCAGTGTCGCTTGAGCTAGTTTTTTTTTTAAATTATTACCTCCCGTGGAAGGAAGCGGGGCAGCCTTGAAGGCACGATCACCGAACACGCTTGTACTTTCTTTTGAAGGAGCATCGTCAGATTTGTACATCACATGGCCACAGCACACACACTTGTCGTCGGATTCCTCAAATTAAAAATCTGAGCTTACGAAAAAAACATACGAAATGAAAAGAGCTACAACATGATACAAGCGAGGAAATAACCTAACATAGACTCACCTTATTTTGAACCATACAATCTGGACACTCCCATGCTACGCGGTTCGTGGCTGCTCCACTCGCTTTAGGTGCACCTGCCTGTGTAGATGAACTATCCGTCGCCGAACCTTTACTTGGGTCTTGTTTGCTCTCAGAGGTCGCAATCGAAACAGTGGGTTCAGATAGCGAATTGGCGCAACTGGACGAAACAGATGTGGTGTTCGAAGGCCCACTGCTGGCTTTAGCTCCTTCTGTGCCGAATCCAAATTTAAATCCACTTGCACTAGGTTTCCCTATCGATGAAATGTTGGAAACCAGTGTTTTGGAAGTAGTTGGGGCATCCTTGTTATGTCCACAGGCAGCGCAAATTGAGACATTCTGCAATAGTCAAAAATTAGCCTCCAAAAATTTTATACCGCTTCTGAATGAAAATAGAAAACAAATATAAAAACCTTGTTCGTGATGAAGCAATCTGGGCAACTCCAAGACGTTTCCGCCTTCGTTTGTGGCGACACTTCTTTAGACGATACTGGAGTATTGTTTGATGACATCGCGCCAGAAGTTTCGCTATCTGCAGCAGTAGGTGGACGGGAGGGCTAAAATCACTGAGAGCATGTACAAGATAATGATAATTCGAATGCCGACAATAACTTTGAAATCAGAGAGAAGTAGTAACTGTTACGTTTCAACTTGATATAAAATACCTTCTGCTCCTTGTCGTGCTCAGCAGGTTCCTCAGCATCAGATGTAGAACTGCTCTGTTCATTATCCGAATCATCACCGCTGCTTTCAGATCCCTCAGAACCACTTCGACCGCATTCTTCAGTCACTGTTTGGTCAATAACACTTTGCCCTGGCAAGCGTTCGACTGGTGCACCGAAGGTGAAAACCATGTCGTCGAGGAACCCTGCGGATGGAGCTGCCTTTATCGGCGGGGCAAACAAAGGGAGGTCATTCTGAAAAATAGATATTCATCTAATACTGTTATAATGTTAGATGCAATAGCGGGATTCCAGCCTTCCAAAGCACGAAGGACTGGTTCTAAATGGGAACATACCGTTTGATCCGCGGAGTCACCCGTCATTTCCCCGTCGATTAACTTAGAAGCGTTAAACACGTTACAGCTGATAGATTTCCCATCACTTCCTAGAACATCAATCGTAGTTATAGAAGCAAGGATGGAAAGCGAAGCTGTGTACTGTGCATTTCATTACGACGGATGCATCTTAAAGCTCAAAAGCTCGGCATATATTCAAGTATGACCAAAAAGAGCGACATTTATGATACTACAAAAGCTAAGTCTTGAGGAAAGAATCGCTCATTGAGCAGTATATAGTATATATGTAGTATTGATCACTTTGCTCTGACCCGGTTCTTCGAAAAATCGCTAATTATGTCAAAAAATGTGGAACTTAGAAAGCAACCTATTTGACCCCTTGTCGAGAACAAAATTTTGACAGAATGTCTGAGTTTCAGAATGCTTAGCTATTTGTCGAACCTTCAATCATACAGAACGACTACACCTATATGATACGCTCGTTCTGTATGATTGAGGGCTTCGAAAATAGCTAAGCATCGAACTTTCGAAAAAAGAGTTGAAGTTCGCAGGAATTCGATCGTGAATCAATTACCTAAGAGGCTAAAATAAATACTTATATTTCTAGTTAGTTAGTTAGATTACTCAGAGTTGCAAGGTAGCTTCACAATTACGCTAGGGAGAACTTCGAGAAAACCACTGGCAACTGAAGACGAAAGGAAAACATGACGGAATTTAAAACTTTTTGAATGTATTCACATATACCTTTTATATTAGGCATATGTGGCTTCAAGGATTTTGCGGGAACTTCATCTCCACTCTTCTGCGCTGTTTTGGAACAAGAACCACTGGCACTGCACCCGTTTTTCTCCATGTCAAATAAAGGATGTATCTAGATTTCATCCATTCTTTACATGAAAGTGAGAGTGGGAAAGCGCTACTAAAAACATACCGAGCTGCTCGCAGGTTTATCATGGGTTTCTTTTGAGTCAGTACTTTGTTGCTTTTCATGAAACGTCCTCGTAATATCACGCCTGAAAACAAAACGGAGCTCGACAACGTTAAGCGTAATATCGGTGTTTGAGCTTTGCCAAAAGGGCACTGTAGCACATCAAGGTTAGCTATTATAATAGTTCACATCAACCCAAACAAAAATGCCTCATTTTGCACTAGACATAATTAAATGTTCCCATTTCGAGCAGAATTTCAGAGAGGTCGCGCTAACAGAACCTAACCCATTGACGGCCGCGGGCCACGCCATATCGTGCTCCTGTAGTATTGATATTATTTAGTGTTCTTATGATTTTTTTCACGTTTTCAAGTATCGGCTGAGTTCAAGCCTTCTATAGAATCTTAAGGCATCGTGGTCCAAGAATCATTAACTTTCAACCACAGTATAAGAGAAATTAAAAGTTAATGTAAGGACAGTATAAAAGGCGCGGTCGCCAATGAGTTAAACAATCATTTCCATTGCTAGCCCTACTTACGAACGACGGAGGCAACCTAGGCGAAAGTAACGCAAAACGCACTCCTAAACTAATTTAAAACTTTTGCTTGGCTTACGTTAATAGCCGAGACTCCTCTTCTACTTGTCTTCAAATGCCGCTTTGCTGGACATTCTAAAGCCAGGAAAGGCTTACCAAGCACTGCTCCAGTTTGTTCAATGTCAAATAGCAAGAACAGGAGGTTTGATGTGTTATAGTTAGTGTTGGTGATAGTTGGTGTTATATTTTCAACGCACCAGTACGGTTTCCTCTGCGACGCCATTGATGAAGACAAAAGTTGAATGCGGGATGGAACGGATGCACTGGATTTGACAAGTGGGGGAGCTGCACAGGAATGCATAGGGGCCCAGCGTTCTGAAGGTACAGTAGATCCGCGCATTACTGGAAGTTTGCGAGCTTCCTGAAAAAAATATATCACCAACTGTGAAGAGTAAGGTTCCTAACAACCTCACCAATAATTTGATTATTCGGGTTACTAGGAAAACTCGCAAAAATTCCGGAAAAGAAACTCACACGAGCTGGCGTACTTATCCTTTCAAGATGACTGAGAATCGCTTTCGTTTTAGAGCTGAGGCTTGAAGAGTTACTGCGCGTACTACCAATTCTTCTAAAAAAATAAGGTGAATTATAATAATAAGCGGACATTTTTTAGTAACTTTGAAGCTGTTGGATGGCACAGGCGGGAAAATCAACTCGCTGAGAAGCACAAAATACTAAGAGAGCACTAGAGTTTCAAGCGATGATGATGAGCCATTTCTATTTATTTTCATAATGCTATTCGTCTTAAAAGTTTTCCAAACTAGTTCCACGAACATTTCCGCAATTTCAAGGGAAATGCTTCTAGGTTGACTTCTACACAACCCTAGCTCCCTCTCTGTCATCTTGGCAACCCGATCGAAATGATTTGTTTAGTCTGGGCTTTCGTTCGTTTTGGAACTGCCCATCTAAGGGAAGTGACTGTAAAAGAAAATCTAACTGACCCATCATCTTTAGCTCTCTTCATTATAAAGAGACCAAAGACGAAGGTAAATCACCTTCGAGTAAGCAGAAAACAATTCTCTCAAACTTAGCAGGAAGGCTTGAAGGTGTAACTGGACCCTTTCTGATGCCTTTCAGTCTTTCGTTAAACACTCTATTAGTTAGATAAACTGTCTGACAGAGCATGCTTTGATTGCTGTATAACAAAATAATTAAAAACTGATCAAGATGAGGGTCTGTTAGTGACAAGCTACGGTTTGCAAAGAAATGAATGTAAAGAAATCTCACCCTATCAATGATCTATTTGAAGAGCTAGGTGAAAACCCGACACATGAAGAAGAGTCACCCATAGATCTTCCGACCCAGGTAGAATTAAGGCGATCCGAGAAAATCCGCGGGGTCTAAAAGTCCACGAATGTGGGTGGATATTATCATAAAAAGAAGTACAAACAACTAACTTCTTCGTCCAGCATGCTATATGCAAACTGTTCCCTCCTGGATCGCTTGGGATTATCACGAATTGAATAAACGTCAATTACAGACGCAGGGCGCTGGTCATTTACTAAAGCTCGCTTGCGCTGAAATATTTAATAAAAAGAAACATAAAGTAGTAAGGAACAATTCATGAGTGCTATTGAAACAATCGTAAGAACGCAAGTCTCACCGATGTTGTCGAAGATTCAAGAAAAATGTCTTCAGCGGGAAGTGGTCTGGATACTCCGGGCTTGGAAACACCGCGTTCTAGCACTGATGGACTCAAGTAACGTAAGCCTCGTGATGACTGCGATACTGATTCGAATGTTGACGATAACGGCGACCCTAAAATCCTTGGCTTTTACCATGACAGGATTAATATGAAACTAACATTTACAATTCACTGGGACTGATTTTCGAAGATTAGAATAAAACCAATATTTACCGTTCACAGGGACTGATTTTCGATTGGGGCTAAGGTGACTGCTACTGCCTGGTGAAATTTGATCGCTGTGATTGCTTCGCTCTGTTAGCTGGTCATTAGATTGTTCTCCTGCATATAAGGAAAATTGAAAAAAATACCCAAATTTACCGGATGACAAATTCCAGATTATAAGAAGGAAGTCTGGTGCATTAAAAGAAACATACCACCAGAAAAGAGTTTAGTGACGGCTGAAAGCCAGCCATCCTTTCCAGAAGACATGACAAAACTTGCTTATACTTTCTGAAATTCATCTTTTTACAGTATACCTACAAATAACGACTGTGTACTTGCAGCACCACATGAATCCAAAGTCCACACTTGGCGAAGGAGGCATAGGAACAAGAAAAATAAAAAAGAAAGAATCCAGCCTAATTGAGCCACCAGATATAAAATCATCACCAAAAAAAGAATAAAAGTAAACAAATTACAATTATATGAAGTTTTCACTGCAAAAAAACCGCACACAACCCGTTTCCAAAACTGGAATGTACCTGAAGCTTTACGGAATTCAGCGACCATGAAAAACTACTTAAACGCCAACCGCTGCGCAACCGCTCGCAGAGCCATCCATTCCCATAAACTTTGGCGCCTCGCCAACTGCACATCTAGGCAGGCCCCGCCCACCCAGTTTGAGTCGCCGGCTTCTCCCAGGAACTTCCCTATATGAGTTTATAGGCGTTTCTAACGCCCAGTTTCATTGTCACTTTCAACATTTGTCGATCTTGATGTATGTCGTGCATTTGTCGGTGATGAATACAGTTTTATAGTGGTTTTTGTACCGGTAGTTAAAAAGCGGATAATAGTTGATTCTGATCATTTAATAATGCTCGATTTGAACGGGTTCATCCTCTTTGGTATAGTCGCTCTCTTCGTATTCTGCATTTTCAGTTATTGCGCTGCAGAGTTTTTGTTGTAACGATTTCTTCTTTGCTTCTCTTTTCTCGTTGTATTGAAGGAGAAATACGAATTCAATTCACAATTGGCCGTTATCAAGTAAACTAATATGGTCCTTATAGAGATATATCCGTTCTCTAGATGTATATTCGTGTCTCCTATTAGACTAGATATGTAACTATTGCTAGATCAGAAATGATTACCCTCAAAGGCGAGTTCTTTCCACAAATGTTGTTTAAAAGTTCTTTTTTCTGTTTTGGAAAGAAAATCTGTAAGACATTTGACCCTAGGGGCGCACTTTTAATCGTTTGATTATTGATTTTTCGTTTAGGGCTGACGAATGATTTGCTTTTATTGCTTGCCTTTCTTCAATTTTCTACAGCTCATAAGCGTTTTCACGCGAGAAGGGCTAGTGGTTTGAGTAAGTTTCCCTTCATATGATTGAGTGCTGTTGTTTCTTGNTTTTTTTTTCATATTTCTCGTGTTCTTTCTGTGCTCTTAGTGCTTACGGGCCTCTGTCTACACCATCTGGCTACTACAAAGCCCTCGTAAGATTGATGGGCTCGCCATATGAACAGATTCGAGGTCAGACAAGAGCGCCTGCTACTAAGTCGGTCCCTATGCCATCAAAGAATTTTGAATGCATCGGAATAATAAAAAGCATTGAAAGGGTTCGTTGTAAGAAGGGATGCTATTTAACCATGTGGGAAGTTTCTGGATCATGGGAGCTGTTTATGAACCCTGTTTTCATAGACCAACTTTCCAAAAGAAGTCCTTCCTTGGGTTTCCTTTATATCATCGTAGCGTCGCACTCAATCATGCTGGCTTCGATGCGGAATCTCCAGGAGCTGCTCTTGTTTTCTTCTCTTCGCTAATTGACTTTCAGTTACAATGATATATCGGACTTGTTGCCCTTGTATTGCAATTAACACTTTCGTTTTTTACCTTTAGCGCACTCGCTGAGAACAAGTAGGACTGGTGTTCCAACGATGTCCTTGATTGCGTATTCAGCGAATATTTGGCGACTTCCCAGAGCGGAGTGTTGGCTCCTCATCAATAATCTGCTCTGCTGACGACCTAATTGCGTCCGCTATTATGGTGGACTGATTTCTGTCTCTCCCTAATAGCGTACATCCTCTGGTTTTCGGCAGTCGCGTAAGCGAGCAGATTACACCTACTGCTTTGCAGTTGATAGCGAAAGTGGCTTACTATCGAACGACAGTGGGAAATGCTCCTCATTTCTGTTTCACAAAAAGCAATTGCGTATTTTCAGACGACCATTTCATTGGTTTTCGTTTCGATGATGAACCAAAAAGTGCCACTGTCATTGATGGTCACATATTGTTGAACTGCCAGTATACAGTTGAAAAAGCGACTGTGAAGGAAGTTCGCTTAGAGTGGAAAAAGGATGGATCATTAATTAACATAAAGTCTAACAGTAGAATGTGAGTACTCTTTCAAACCGGCTGAATTACCCATTGCATAAAAAATTCATTTGAATTTCGAATGATCTTCAAATGCAACTTCAGGCAACTTTTTTCGAACGGATCCTTATCCATTCATGATGTTATTCTGAGCGATACTGGATCTTACCGCTGCGTGGTTCATGTGACATCAAGTGATGGGTTTACCTGGACGTACATGAGTAGAAGAGCCATCATTAACTTACCAGACCTTCCAAAGTAAGCTCTACATTGAAATGTGTTCAGGAAATTTGGTCAGTGATTCTTGGATTTGCTTAGGTTCGATGTTCAACCAACAGATCGTTCAGTTGGAAGAGGTCAGCCAGCCGTGTTCCAGTGCATTGTGGTCAGTCAGCTGTTCGTTACGTGTCATAGTATAACAACCTCGTATTGTCGCGTGTATTACAATAAGCTTTTTGACGACATAAACTCTAGTAATTTTAGCAGGCGAAACCACCTCCAGCCGTTGTTTGGTACCACAATGGAAAAGCCATCCAAAATGGAGGTGAGTCATCGTTCTGCTTCAGCTGCAGTGAACCTTACTGGCTTATTCCTTTCCTAGATTATATCGCTCCGCTGACTCGCGCATGAACCTCTTCTCCTTCTTCAGAGTCTGAAAATCGAAAACCGCTCTAAGTTGTTTCCAACACAAGGGACAACGCCCCTCTAGACATCACATTGATTAGTTTAGCTGCGCACATTTTCGTGATTGACCACTTCTTCAAGGGAGTGATCGCGTTTATCTTTCGGCTGAATACCTGGATCCCCATTTCATGCTTGCTTACATTGGTTGCGGTTGTGAAATAGATGGCCAAACAACGATCCTATTCATTTCACTCAGAAGGCAAGAGATCGGAGATGGATTAGAAGATAAGAGTATACGCGCCGCAAGGGTATTATGTCAATCATCCATGGATTGTTTGCGCAATCCGCACTGAGGGTCCTCTCTTATACGCAACAACTAATGAAATCGAGCTTCCCGAAATTGAAATTTGCGGGTTTGTTTTTGGCACAGCGTAATACGTACCCCCATTCTTCAAGGTTCCCACTGCGTTTAAACTCTTATATGAGGCTTTGTTGTACCGTGAGCTATCGGGTTCCTCAATCAAACGGCAGCTTCTAATCTGCCTGCCAGGGAAGAGTTATCAATCTTTAACGAGCCAGGGGGAGGTTCACGACATGATCCGTGGGTGGTCTTGATGGGAACCAATACCTGATTGAGCTGTAATTCGTCATTATTCTCGGGAAAACCGACATATCTCACTGTACCGCCCTATCCTAGTGTTTGTATAATAAACGAAATGAAAATTCAGAATGGACCACAAACAATGGTTCTTTCCAGTCGTTGAAGTTTTGTCAGTCGATTAGATAGGTCAACCCAGCTTTCTTTTTGGCACTGTTCACAATAGAAATGATGTCTGAGATTTCTCTCTTTTATTAACCGGTTACCTTTAAGATAGCCTGAGGGAAGCTGTACAATAAGAACCCCTGAGCTGGTTTAGCCGACGTAGGACACCTAAGGCGGACGAGTACTCAAGCGTTATAAAAGGTGTGGAGGTTGCAGTGTTCGCACCTGAGCCCACACCTTGCACGCAGACAGCTTACTGCAGCCATCTGTATGCAATGGTGCGCATCTGTTCAACTCGTCCGAATACTCGTCTTCCATGCGACTTCTGTCGACACATTCTCTTCTAGCCCTTAGTGTGACCTCGATTACAAAGCCTTACTTTTCTCTAAATAAGCTGGTTTCTACGTTCTTTCCACCTTTTTTACACTATTCTTTACTATCACTTCCATTTTCGTTAAAAAAATAGTTACCCAGAATAATCGTGAATTCTGTCTTTGAGTTGAGTCCATCTGATGAGGTCGCTTGCGCTTTTACATGAGAGATCATCATTAAGAAGGAACTTTCTCATCATTAAACACAAACTTCCTTTACCCGCTTTTGGCTTTGATTTTTTCTTTTACCCAAAAAGAGTTTGTGCCATGAACAGAGCCTGGAGGTTTATGCTTTTGCTGAATAAGCGTGCACAAAACATGAAAAAAGATGAGCATCTATCGCGGTCTAAAACGTAAACAACTGTTCGAATTTGCAATTTAGTGTGCACCATTGCAAAGTAGCGTTGTACTTACGCTCTTAACTCGAAGCATATGTTGTGCATAATTTCGTTGAGTACCATTTTCTGCAAAGAATATTACTCCAATAAATCCGCTTAATGCGGCGTGACCACTGTAGCGGCAAAGTACAAAAAAATGTATGACAGATAACGCGAAATCAGCGCGCTTACTTTTTTGACGGCCTGTTCTCCGGGGTATTTACCGTTGAATGAGAACGGGGTTTTCCTTGTTAGAGGGTACCCCAAGGTGCCCCTTATGTGTTTCTCATCTGAATCGTAAGCAAACTTTAAGGTGAACCGACATGAATGCAAACCACACATTCATTCTTGGAAACGCTCAGAGCACCCCTAAAGTGTGGATCGGCTGAGCATAGTCGAAGTAATGTGTGAACTTACTGATTCCCTCTGCGCCTCAAGAAGTACACGACTACTTTCAGGTTGCAATCCTTTGCGCAGCTTAAAATCCCGCTTCCACCCTCTCAGGATACATCTCTGGGTGGAGATGTCGGTCAGAGCGTCACTGGTCATTACTCACATATTGGATATTGGATTGACTGTCATATGCTGCAGTGCGCTGAACGCAAAACGATGTTTTGACCAATGCCCACCTGCGTCTTTAAGTTTCAACTTTTATGACTTCCCTCCCTTTTCTTAGCTTATTTCTCTTCCTTGTTTATGCGCAACAGGGTATAATGTTACTAGGCTCCCTCGAAAATTTGTAATTGTTTATTACGTGGGCAATCCTGTGTGGTGCACAGAGTGAGGGTAAAAAACAAAAATACAACAATTGTAAACTACATGCAACAAGGAGCAAACGACAACTAGCTGTAGTGCGAATGGAACTTTAAAAAACATTTGAAATCCATTCGAAATCTATACTGTAATATACTTGCCTGAAGCGGGTTCAAACAAACTGATTTGGATGATAGTCCAAGGCCTTTCTCATCAATAACCTTTTTTTTTGCACTCTTTCTGAGGTCATTGACTCGTTGTCGAGGATCCATCAAGCCTCCTTTATTAGGTTTACCGTTTTCAAAATTTCCGCAAACTCAATTTAGCCTTTCAACTTTTTTGATCCAACCAATTCTCATCCGAGCGCCGCACACCTCGTTGGGTGCCCCCCCCCCCCCCCCCACTTACTTCTCTCTAAGAAACTGTCAATTAATTACGATCGACTGATTGTCAACTCAATATCAGCCGTAGCACTAATGACCGCACTTGACAATGCTGCCAATTATTACCATTAGAAGTCTCTAGATCCATGAAGATCCCTCCAACCAATTCATGCTAGAGCTAATAAGAGGATACCAAAACATTCTTGCCACAGTCCAAAATTCGAGGCAATACTTCTTATAGCACTAATGCACTTAAGATAAGGATGAAAGGTTGGGTCAGGAGAAGTTGATCTTTGCTTTTTCAAAATTATCGGTTCTTCTTTAGCATATGTAGGACCATCTTATAATGAAGGCTTTTACATAGTGGTACCTTTCCTCAAAAGATATTTGACAGTCGATGTTACATGTGCCGTTTTTCTTTTTTTCTTTTTTTTTTTCTGACTGTTTTTCATGTTCGAAATGATCTTGCACTCTTGCGGCGTCGCAACTCAACATAAGAAAATGAATACAAGCGTAAAACCACGGAGAGTTATTCATTTCAAACATCGCCTATCATGAACTGAAGGCCTAAGGCAATAATTCCTTGCTCGAGCTGTTCCTGTGAAATGAGAGCAGCTGAGGGAGCAATAAACTTTCTTGCAACTGACTACACTTGTTTTCTCACAAGAGTCACACATATGGCTTCAGCAGGATAATGGTTCCTGTGATTTTTTGTAGCACTCCACCCCGAGCTTTACATAACTCTGGTAGAAGTTAACGATTTCCGGCCTGATGTGACCTCGTATGCTTTGGGGGATTCGATTGGGAAGTTTCTCCAAATCACTTTGTGATTCTCTAATCGATATAATGGAATTTTTTGTTCGCGTGGCGTAACGGGCGTCGCGCCTGAACCAATATGACATACTACTGGATCATTAACCGCGGCGACGTTACTGGGCAACAATCGATGCGCTCTATGATAGGGTAGGGATAATGCTATACACCTACACCTCATCCGATGATACGTATGTTAATCATAGAAAATAGCAGAAATGACACAAAAGCACCTGAAGAGTGCATCTTATAGTTGTATAGGCCCAGGATTTAACTCCTTTCTAAAATACTGTCTTCGCGTTTTTTTTTTTGTCAAGAAAGAAAATGGAAGAACCATTGGAACCAAAGTTGCTTAGTCCTCTTATTTATTTTAGCAACCATTAATGTGCCAGCCAATTTTGAGTGAGCGTAGATGCCTCTATTCAAAGTTATATTCTGAAAGCTGCTATTATTTGCTTTGAATGCATTGCAACAACGACATCGTGTTTATTTTCAGCTGATTACCATATCCTACCCGTTTCCAATTCTCTGGAGATCGCAGCTGCTGAGCCGCGCCATGAAGGAGAGTATAAATGTGTAGTAGAAAGCGCTGGAAAAAGGAGAACTAGTATGAGTGGTCGCCTTCGCCTGGAAACTGGTAGGATTCAGGGTTACGACTGCTTTGAACTTTCCTACATTTTCTGATATTATTGAGGTTACTTCTAGGTCCGACTTCACAGGAGCTTCATTTTATGTCATCTCCTCGTGTCCAAACGGCAAGGGAGGGTGACGACATTGTTCTGGAGTGTCTTGTGAGCTCGAAAGGCTCTGCAGAAGTGCGATGGTGAGTAAGGTAACGTAGTAAAGTAGTAGTGACGGGGGTAATATAGTGGCTTTTTATTACACGCATGGTCCAAGGGTGAATAGTGAATAGTTACCCGCCGGATGACCGCCGCAAGTCAGGTTTATTGACAGGTAGCGCTCTGCCACACGCGCATGATCACGGTTTGGATTCTGGGTGATATTTGCCCAGGATAACCAAGCTCTGGCGGGTGGTGTATACCAGACTTGCACGGGAGTGTAAAAGCACTGGCCGACTACCGCATCATTGTACATGCCGCATACTCGTTCTCAGCAGCATCGATTCTGTATTTAAATCGGACGCAGGAGGCCATCTTAAAACGAAATTGATCATTGTCAGAGAAGTTATCCTTGTCTATTCCGAAGGCACCTAAGTTTACTGCTTCCCATAGTGGAATTAATTACTTGAGCTTAATTATCAACTTTCAGGTTAAAAGACACTCGGCAAATAGCTGTGGATGGTTTGAGAATAAGACGTGTAGGCGTCTCCTCGCTTCTCATCTCTAATGTGCTCGAATCTGATTCGGGCCTGTATACTTGCCGAGCCAGTGACACTCATGATTCACTTGATCGAACTGTGGCCGTCAATATTGTCGGTAAGCTTTTGCTAGTGTTCTTGTCGAATGTTTTCTAATCTGTATTTCTTGTCCGACTAGAGAAGTTGTTTCAGCAGCGCCACGATTAACTGTACGTCCACAAAGTAAAGTAGGGATAGAAACAACCGATATCGAGGTACTAATTTCAAATTCATCAATTCATTCCATCAGAACAACGTTCTTCACCTCATTATTCAACCATTTTGTTTAAGATGGAATGTGCTTCATCGGGAAGCCCAGTCCCTACTATCTCCTGGTTTAAGAACGGCGAGGCTATTATTACGAGCGATTATTTTGTGATCGAATCTACGAGGTATCATAGCTTGAATAATCTTTTCAATTTTGATTCTATTTTTTGAAATGCTTACAGATTGCGCATTCTTGGTCTTGTGAAAGCTGACCAGGGTGTGTATCAGTGTGTCGCAGAGAACGAAGCGGGCAGCGATCAAGCCGTAGCTCAGCTTTTGGTTGATAGTGCAGGTACGAATAAAGCCTTCTGTCTCACTTTTTCTGTAGTAATTTAATGTTTTCATTCTCTTTCTGGCAGGTCCTACTTATTTATCCACCATTGGTGTGGATAGCAGTACTCTCAGTGTACGAACTAGTCCAATTTCTTTTCCAGCGGATGGTTTGTTTTAGAGTTCCTTCGCGCGTTCCATAAACATTTGAATTTGATTTGTTTTGGCCAAACAAGATCTTTGTGCATGGATTTACTGTTCACTAGTGTGGCCGCTGGAGTTACCGTCTTCCTTTTTGATCCCATTTAACAGACGTAATTAATGGCTTTTGACCGGTTTTCATTTTGTGGTGGAACTTTTTAATAGCGTTTGTGCACTAACATAGTCTGCAATGGCTTCTCATTGCAAAGTTTGTTCTTCAGACTCGTCTTCTATAGCAGCGTCTTCTGGTCAACCGAAGATTGCTTCTGCTCCATTAGGTCTCCGAGTCGGGTCTCTTGGTATGCTGTTCATGATTTCGAATCTCCCAAACACTGTTTTCACTTTTATCGTTTTCAAGGAAGTCGATTCGTGAATTTGGAGTGGGATCCACCTCTATCGCGAAATGGAAATATCATGAGATATCACGTGTTTTATAAAGAAGAAGATAGCGATAGGTAATACTCCTTAGATTCAAATATTTAGAAAAAAAATCATCGTTACAGAGAGAGAATGTTAAATTCTTCAACGACGTCAGTAACAATCACTTCACTGCAACCAGATACTCTGTATTTACTACGTGTAGCGGCCGAAAACGAAGCTGGAATGGGGAAAATAAGTGATCACGTCAAAGTTACGACCAAGAAAGAGCGTGGGTGATCCTCATCAAGGAATTTCTTATGATTTATATTATCGAATTTGCAAGTGATGTGTTCAGAAGCCGTACCAGGTCGAATAGCAAACTTGGTAGCTCGAGCATTAGGTCCTGAAACAATCGAAGTCAAGTGGGATCCCCCGCAAGGAGGACCTAAAGCTCTTCGTTACAAACTGTTCTACATCAGGAATCCGCCAGAGGCTGATGACAAAGAAACACAAATTGTGGTATGTTACGATTGTTCCTCTTAGAAATGTCTTTTGCGACAAACTTTGAAACTGATTTACGTTTTGCACTTTCATTGATTTCTTCTTTCATCTTTTGTTTCTTTACTGTTACAATGTTTTTTTTCAGATTTCGTCTACAGCGTACACTTTGCATGGAATGGAGAAATTCACAGAATATCAGATTCGTGTAGAGGCTGAAGGAGAAAATGGTAGTGGTCTTAGCAGCTACCCTCTGAAGGTGGGTTTACAATTTGGAATGTTGTTGTTGCTTGCCGTACAAGTATCCATTTGAGTTTTGATTCCTAACTTCCTTGGTTCGACGATAAATAAGCGTTAAGTTATCTATAGAGTCCTTCTGGGTTGAGCGGGAAGTCTTGCTGCTCGAACTCTACATTTCTCACTCTGTAAAGGCTGCAACCCTCGGTGTACCGGTGAAGTTATATTCTTCGTTTTGGCCTGAGCCCAATTACGATACTGCTCCTCACGTTGACTTGACCTCGTTACCCATGTCAGGAGGTGGAAGGTTCCAGGATAGGAGAGTGCTTTACATTGGGCAGAGCTTGCTGATTGAACTCTGCTCCTAGACTTTCTGAATAACACCTGTCATCCTTCTGTGGTGGAACGAACGTCGTTTTGGAAAAATGGGTTTCCAGGAGTGAAGACTACAGATAGGGTTCATACCTGTTTTTCTATTGGAAGCAGAGCATTTTGGTACTATTGTGACAAATGTATCAAGAATAGTCTAGTAAATAAATAAGGCGCTAGTCATTTGTGCTACGCTGATGTCGAGCTGAGGGTGTCAGGAGACTTTCTGCCCAGTCCAATACCATGTCGTCGAGCGCTGACCCATCGATTGGTTTCAATTTCTTCATGACTTTGTAACGACTACCTCCGAGGCCAATTATTTGAAGAAAGGCTGAACAGCAAGGAAAAAAAGCATATTAGTTATAGAGGAGGGCAGAATTAATAAATGTTTGCATCATCTTCAGTTTGTGAGCGTGGTCGAGAGATCGAATCATGAACCGAAACTCCTCCACACCAAGCAAGACTTTCACTTTTACCCATCGGGTCGGATAACGGTCGGGACTTGTGTAGATGGGTAAAAGCATTGATTCGCATGTCGGTTAGCCACTGCAGGTCATTTTATATGCCACATACACATTCAAACAGCCACCACGATTCTGAATGAAAGTGGGATGGGGGGGGGGGGGGGGGGGAGTCACTGGAAGAAGCGTGATTGCATAAAGCCGGTTCGCGTTGCAACTAGCCTAGAAGCTACATATTTTGTTTTTGTATATGGCTACCGATAATCAGTAATATTTTTTGAAACTTTTCCATTTCATTATCGGGAACAACTTAGGAACGTATTGTTGTTTAAGCATCTTCTATTACCGAACTTCTTCATATCTCAACATGTTGTGCTTTTCTTTCTTTATGTTTCATGAAATATGTATAAAATGTGAAATGTACATTTATTGAAGTGAGGCGTCCAAGTCTTTTTGAGGTTTTTGAGGGGGAATATGTTAATTTGTAGCTGCCTTTTATCCAGTAACGCAGAAGATCGTTCTTTTGAAGGTTCGTACTTTGTCGGACATTCCATCGTCCCCTCCGCGAGACATCGTAGCTGAAGCTGCTTCAAGCACAAGCATCAGAGTAACTTGGAACGAACCTGATTCCGAAAGTTCGAATGGGGAGATCACTGGATACAGGTACTTCAATCCTCTTTTATGACATCTTCCCAATGTTTGAATTCTGTCTTGACGAGGGATGAGAAGAACAATCAGCAAACGATTGTTTCCAAGCACGGGCTTAGCTGCTAATCCTTTTGCATAGCGTTTACAGCTAAGGGAGAGTTTTTAACGCCGGGAGCAGAGAAGCAAATGAGGGGAAACGTTCTGAAATAAACATATTGACATTTATAGAGCAAAACTTGGGACTGAATCACCCTCTGACTTGCGAAGAGTATAATTCTAAAAAAGAGCATTAGTTTCATCATTAAAACCTTGTCATGATGCGGTTGTAGTGCTAAGGTAACCTGTTCCAAGTAAGCGAATTTTTGCACATGATCTTAAAAACGTAGTTATATCATTCCTGTCGTCAACACAGATCAGTATTTATTCTTTACTCCTTCTTCAATTTTTGATGATATGCTGCTTCAGTCAGTGGTTGAGTGGTGGTAGGCTTAGGTCTCTAGCCATTTTCTTCAACGCTCACAGTGTACAAAAAATCAAGCCCGTATCTCTCTCATAAAGGTCACATTTTACAACAAATTCAAACAAGAATAATTCGAGCATTTTATTCTGTTCGTTATCATGAAGTACTTAACTAATGGAAGTGTTCTAGGTTAAAATACAAAACGAGGGTTCGTGGTAGTAAAGGGAATACCTTTGTGCTGGACGCTAGCGAGAGAGAATACACAATCACTGGGCTCGATGTCAATACTCAGTATCTTGTTCGAATGGCCGTTGTCAACCACGTAAGCATTTTCACGGAAGTTTGAGCTATTGATCCATTGTATGTGTATGAAGTGGAAGTAGCTCAATTCAGAATGGAACGGGACCATATTCGGATTGGTTGCCCGTTGCAACTTCTCTCATGGACAAAGAAGAATTGGTATTAGGTCCTCCGCGAGAGCTTCGCCCTCAAGCTAGTTCAGATCACATTATTATATCATGGTTACCGCCAGCAGACGAATCTAATATAGTCCGAGGATATCAGGTAGCTCATCTTTGCGCTTTATGAAGCTTCGAAATGTTCTTTTTTCTTTCAGATTGGATGGGGAATCAATGTTCCTGATGTGTCGATGGAGCGTGTAGGTGCCAACGTACTGCAGCACAAAATCACTGGGTTACGTCCAGCTCGAGAATACGTGATCTCGTTACGCGCGTTCAATAAGCAAGGCTCTGGATTCCCTATCTACGAAACTGTGAAGTGAGTGTTCCTTGTTTGGAGTTCTTATGACGAATTTCTGCTTAAATCCCTCCTTTTTTGAAATCCTTTCGAGCTTTCTGGCTCGGGATTCAGCTTTTTCCTTATTGCTGGTCACTTGTTTTGAAAAAACATGGTGTGGTTCTAGCTCTGAATTTGGATTACTTGTATTTCTACTTTAATATACAATGCGGTACAACACCGGATGATAGGATGTGTATAAAGGATGAAGATTTTAATTGGTTAATTTTGATTTTTGAATGTGCGCATGCATTCGGACTCTGTTCAGTAACGTGGTTCCATTCAATTGCGCATGTTAGGGTCTATATAGTGGCTTTTGTTTGTGGTCGGTGTATGTAGGTGTTTTTAACCGCTCAGATGATTTTGGTATCAGCTAGGAGGTGAAGTACATCTGTGTCTTCGTCCTCTGACTTAAGCCTGGTACAAATAACAGACTCGTCGTAATGCAAGACTTGATTCGCCTATGGGACTCCCGCTCCGAGATTTGATCCCCTGACAATGAGCGTGATATAGCGCTCCGTGACAACGCCAACCCCGCCATGTACCTTAACAAAACCCTTTTATTATGCACTTGTTAGTGGAACTTGAAGCCCTTTTTAAGCTTTTCGATTTACAGAACGCTATCTCACTCTTCAATGCCATTCTTTGATGGTTCGATGCCGGTAGTCCCTTTGAGCACACCTATTGGTGTCATTGCGGAAACCGTCTCTGCGACCAGTATTCGTGTCTCCTGGACGGACTCGGATCCAAATGCTTTCAACGTCCTTTACACAGTGCGCTACAGTACCAGGTTAGTGCGATTATCTCATCAAATATACAGTAGCAGAACTGTTGAAGTTTCCCCATTTCTAAACATTGCAAGCATTAAGCTGTGGAACTTCAGAAGGAATTGCACCTATTCACCTTACACTCGCACGTACTTGGGTGGGGTGTATATGTATATTTATGTGTTTACCTTTCATTGCACTTAATGCAGTTTTTTTACTACTTGGCTTTTTCAAAAGCTTATAATACACTATTGAGATATGGCCCTGATAATATTTCTTCTAAAGTTCAAAAAGAACCTGTTTTTCGGTAGGGGTTATTTTATGAAATCACCATTCGTGAGGCAGCAGGAGAAATGCCCTCCTCACTATTTCACACTCGGTGTGTGTGTGGGGTCCCTGTTTGTTTTTCTTACCATTCGGGGTTCTGATCAGTTAGTCTGCAGTGGTTTTATCAGGATGAGCCGTATATCGAGGTCACGGGGACGAGGGTGTCTCACATTTAAAGAGTTCTCGAAAACGAACAGTATGTCTCCACGTACGGGCTTCAAGCTTGTGTGGCCGTATATTGAGTTCATCGGTAGACAGCTTAATTGGTTCTCTAGCTCAGAAAAGTTGTTTTAAAGACTGTTACGACATTGGGGTGGACAGTTCTAATCTGTGGAAAAAGTATGTATGTGTATGGGACTGGAACCAAAAAACAGGCAATATCGTTTTGTGATCGTTCAACGTCTTCTCCTTTGCAGTGAGCTGTATTCTTCAAGTCGTCCAGACTTGGAAATAAATAGATCGTCACAACGTTGGAAGCTTACAGTACAAAGTGTGTTTCGCAGTGATCAAAAGTACGTTAGGCTCCGAGAGAGTCGAATATTGAAAAGTAATTGTGGAGGATTGCGAAAGAGAAGCAGTCAAATATTGAAGGGCAGGTGAGCGCCTAATTGGGTAGAGCTGGAATCGAAAACTCGCAACAGTGATCCGAAACAGCTGAACACTTGGACATGGAGTGGAGTTAATTACACACTTGCCCGCAATGATCATGATAAGTTTCCCAGCTCACTCTCCGCCCAGTAATGCAGCGGATAGCTTTTTTTGCAGACTATGTTTGGATGATAGACGATAGTAGGAGCTGTGAGGAAGTAGAACTTTGAGATGGCGGTTTTCGCTGTGGTGGGTTATTCGAAGAACAGCTAATCCAGTTGAGGCTCATCTTTATATAGGTCAGAGGTGATGTAGGATGAACCGGATATTGACTCTAATCTCGAAAAGTATCAACTAATATTATCTATTTCTTGCGGAAAGCCACTAAACGAACACTGTGTTTGATTGAAGACACCTATGAATTTTGAAATTTCCCAAAGTCGGTCTTCCTGAAGGTCAAAGCCGATTTGCTGCGATGTACGTGCACTGGGCCATCTTTTCAATCTTGGTTCTGATGTATATCATTAATAGTTTATAATGATTTAATTAAATTACGCTTGACATATTAGATCGTTGGGCTGTTGTAGATGTACCACAACTTATGAATAGCTATGTACATAGAGCTAATCGTTGTGTTTCCTTCAATTATATCTTTTTTTAGTGTTGAAAGCAACCAAGCTCGTTACCTAAACTCATCAGAGTCATGGATCACTATTGACGGTCTTCGTCCTGACACTGAATACGAATTTTCGGTCCGGTCGCAGGTAGCTGGCTCTGGCCCAAGCCCTTGGAGTATGGTGGCTAGAAACAAGTGAGTTCTTAAAGAAATATAGTACATCTGCAGCCAATACACTCGGGGCTTCCCAACTACCCACAGCCAGCATAAATTAGTTCATTGTTTTGATCCAAAATATATTGCCTCAGATGCTAATTCACCCTTTGCTTTCACCCTTTTGCTTTTGCTTATGGTTTCTTGAAAGTTTCAACCTCTGAACAATATCCTTGTTGTGCGCAGCATTTATCTCTGTGGAAAAGCATTCTCCGTCCGCCGTTTTTACCTGCACATTGCTTACGCCACTCAAACTGATAGATCTGAACTTTTACTGTCTGGTTCCGGAGGCTCAGAGTTGGCTAGACTTTTCCTAAAAGACTAAAAGGCTTCTTTTCTGTATGAGTTCATCAGTGATAATGAAACCTTATTAAGAACTTATGCATCCGCTCCTTCATCATCACCACGTGATCTCACCGTACTACCTGCTGCTTCGGGTGACCCTCATGCGGTTTTGCTGAACTGGCAGCCTCCAAAATATTCGAATGGTGAAGTGGAAGGTACTGTTCTACAGTTTATTGATCTTTTTTACCCCATAAAGCCTACTGTGACAGCCCTGTCTCAAGTTTTGCATTATAATTTGAACCATATATCGCTCTAATGAATGCTCATAATGCATGTTACACAGAGTACCTGATTTACTACACTGATCGAGTAATGCAAGCCGATAAGGACTGGAAAATTCATTATGTTCACGGCGACAAGCTGAGTCATGAGATTCGGAACCTTCTGCCCAAGACAACATACTACTTCAAAATTCAAGCCCGCAATGAAAAAGGTTTTTTTTGTTGAGCGATTTGTAGCTTCCTATTTCGAGCCATCCAATTTTTTCAATGTATTCAATGCTATTTTGAGGTTATGGACCACTTTCGCCGGTGCAGACTTTGGAATCTTTTGGAAGTGGTTCCCGTCCTGCGGGCAATGTTGTACCCACGCCAGGCAAAGGATCAAGCTTGCGCTGGGATGACCTGGTGGCGTTACTCACTTCCAATCCTATGTACATCGCCATTGTTGTTGCATTTGCTACCCTTGTGCTTCTCTGCATCATTCTCATTATGGTATGCGCCTTAAGAAGGTGGGTCGTCTCTGAATTTGAAGTTCACCACAATTTTCGATTTTAAAGAAGGCGATCTTTAAGTTCAAGAACACCTTACAGGAGTTCGAAAAATCCCGGGTATACGGCTGGAAAAAAGACGAGCGTTCAACAGCAGGGAGCGGACCTGTGGATAGACCATCCTGTTGGTAATAATATACGAGGAGGACGTGAGTTTGGAGCTCGAGTGTTTACATTGAATCAGCGCTTGGGAGTAATAGTATCCGCCTTTAGCATCAGACTACATGGTGAATGGTATCGGTGCATCAGTGGTAGATATGAAGCATTTGACCGGACCGGATGTGGTTGAGTCTCCGCCTCCGAGATATCACGGCTTACAAGGTCAGTTTACAACCTACGAATAGATAGACAACTTGATGTTGTGATGGTGAAGCATCAGATTCAGTGAACCTTTAGCATGTGCCACACTCGTATGGTCCTAATGTTCTACGTATGGCTATCATGCCACCTCTGTATTGTCAATTGTGTTCTAGTCCCTCACTACGTGATCGCCTTAATCCATGATGTTGTTAGGTGCCGCTGTAATGTCTCCATATCAGTAGGGAAATTAGGAGTACTCAACAAAAATAACCACCTTTGATGTTGTGACTGTAGTAGTAGTAGTGTTTCTCTTTGAACAGATTCCACGTATGGATCAGTGTCAGTTCGTCACAGTCGAACACCTGCCCGTAATTCCATCTCCTCATACGACGAAGAGATGCGGCGTTTGGACCATGAAAGTCGTCGTCCCATAATAGTAGGTCGTGCCAAGCCGATCCTTGCATCAGTCGCCGGCTATGGGCCACCATCGGAAGAGAGTATGTTGTTATTGTTGCATGCGCCTTTGTCATTCCACAAGTGAACCCCATATGTATTCGCCTACGGTACCTCTATGTACCCTCTCCCATTGTGCATGTCTAGGTCAAGGAACATTGTCGCGAAGCTACCATCATTCCCAATCGAGTCTCGAAGGACAACGACAAAGAACACCACAAGTAGTGTATACAGGCTCTGGACGGCATCAGGTACTCATTCATTAACAGCTCCACTGAAAAGTATTCAAGAATGCTTTTTCAGCCAATCGCCAAGATTGAATTTGGTGATTCTCCCTATGGCTCGACTTCAGCCCTTGAGCCTGAAACACCACCCATACCGCTGCAAGCGCCGCCGTCTGGGCCTCCTACGGTTGACGGTTATCGCACTCTTCGTGGAGGAGTAACACCTACAAATCAAAGCCAAGGCGCTCTTCGGTACTTTCTTCAGTGCTTCTAGTTTTGTTTCTCTCTATTTCTGGATGTTTTCAGGTCGTTCACTCAGTTAGCGGGTACTCCGCCGCCACCCATCGGGGGGCAGATATGCACTCAGCAGCAGCCTCGTATAGTGGTTGCGGCCGGGGGCAGGCAACTGCCTGTAGGTAGGGCAACTGCCCAGCCGAGAGTCAATGTAACAAATATTTATAGGTAGGTGAATGGCTAATGGCTCTCATGAAAGTTTTCAAAAACTTTCGAATATATATATATATTTTCAGCCCCTATGCGTCCTGTTCGTCGGACCCCGAAACTGAGAAAAAACCGGTCCACGTCGATGTGGATTCTGCAGGTCATTCGGCAGGAGTTCGGGTTTGTTAGCTTCCGCTTTTTGACCATCATCGATCATTCCATCCAATTTTCACTTCGTTTACAAGCAGTTCTTTATTTTCAGCCTTCTAATTCAACGGAAGAACTGAATGCCCAAATGGAGAATCTTGATACGATGATTGACGACCTGCAAGCGCTCCAGCACGAGTTTGGTGTTGTAAGCTGACCACAGAGATNTATGCAGTCAACTGGTAAACAGCAATCGGTGTTTCACTTTGTATGTTGTACAGATTTTTCTTCTTATGATTTCCTGCATTCTCATCATTCCGTAAAGTACCCTCCCTTAACTCTTGATCTACGAATTTTCATTTCCGACACAAGAGCTTTCCTCCTTATGGTCCTTGCCATTTTCGTTTCCACAGTTGCGTTTCAACAGATGCACTTTGTAAGTTTTCTCAGATTTCGCTCAGTCTCATGCGATTCTGCAACAACACCATGTTTGTTATTATCATGTCACTCATTTTCCTCATTGTATTTTAACCTTCTTTCAATAGCAGTTCTGTAACTGCATGTTCTCACCATATCTATCGTCATCCTGTTTTCCGTGTACCCTCCTTTTCTATATGTAGTGCTTCTAGCTGTGCTATGTCGATGGTCTCTGTGTCCGCTTAGCTCACGAGTATGCTAGTTTGAGTTGCAGTATTTACTGACCCTTCCTGGGCATCGCACTTCACTGGTATTTCACAGTATTAACGCCGTTTATTGTCCGCTCACTTTGACATTCTTGTATATTGCTATGAGAAGATTGCGTCATAAACTGTCATTGAGTATATCTAGATTGTGGATAAAAGTGGGATAGTGAGGTGGGGACCCTCATCGCATCACAACTCCGTTTCTCGATCTTTTTGCCAAGAAGTTCATTCTTCATTCACGTTAAATTGCTGCGAATATTTGTAAGAATAAGAAACAATAGCGTGGACATTGGCTGGTCCTGCAGGTTCCGCCGTTATTTTTAGCGGGTCGTCTCCAATATGTAGAATAAATATTGCGGAGTGGCACGCTCGTGCAGGATACGGAACTTCGGGGTAATACTGTATAAATAAAGTGGCGCACTCTTATTGGGTGAATGTTACTATCGTAGACAGTCTAGGAGGATAGAAAGCACCGACTTTTTCAACGGCAGAACAACTCCGCAAGCCATTGTTGAACCAGTCACCACTCCACTACCGAGTGGTAATCGAATGCTGCGGCGCGGCCCAACACGGGATTGATTACCGCTAGAGACTTAAGGCATTATTCAGTCAGGGTACGCCAGGTGACCCGTTCCCCACTTGATTACAGCAAAAACAATTTTGGACTATATCACGGCGTGCAATTACCAGTTGTGTATACATAATGCATAAAAAGAATAACAAATTGTTCATATATATCGGGGCACTAGGTAAAAGGGGGTAAACATCAAATACGAAAGAGGGAATTGCGAGACTAGTGCCAGACCTGAAGAAGAAACTTGAAGTCGTTCAACGCCAGTTCGATTAATGGCCGCAGGGACTACCAGAACGCAATTCTATCCTTGAGATGGTGAGGTCGAGCTACACACATGGCGAGCAACGCCATGCACCTCGAAGGTGAAGCCCATCCATTTAACAAGTCGAAATAATTGACGACACCTTGTTCAATCGCAGTAATCGCAATTGCATATGCATTGAAGAAAAGAAAAGAAATATGAAAGAATAAAAATACAGGATCATTCTGAAAACAAAAGCTTACAGTTTTGAAGGCAAGACCCAATCTTTCTGTCGAAGTCCTACAAGGTTCGTATCATTGCATNGTCGAGCTACACACATGGCGAGCAACGCCATGCACCTCGAAGGTGAAGCCCATCCATTTAACAAGTCGAAATAATTGACGACACCTTGTTTAAAAGCAGTAATCGCAATTGCATATGCATTGAAGAAAAGAAAAGAAATATAAAAGAATAAAAATACAGGAACATGTCTGAAAACAAAAGCTTACAGTTTTAAAGGCAAGACCCGATCTTTCTGTCGAAGTCCTACAAGGTTCGTATCATTGCATGCCACGGGAGTGGATGTAAATAACAATGACAATGAGTTGTCATTCTGCGTGTGTTGGTGATCTCATTGGTAAAAATGGCAGGCAGACCATTCTGCTATCAATAAAGCACTAACTTGGTGTGTCGGTTTGCCGGTATGTCGGTTTGTCTGTTTGTCCGTCTGCAAAACTTTGTGATTACTATGAAGGCAGTGAGATGGAAAACCCAGCTCTATCCCACATTCCCTTCTTATATATAAAGCAGCAAATTGGTGGGTAGGGTTATGGAGTAGAGCGAGTACTGCCGAGTGAGGTGAGTAATGTGGAGTACTTTAAAACTGTAATTCCGATCTGTACTGGCATTGTGTTATGATGTATGTCTATACAAAAATGGAGGTGATAATTGAGCTGGGAGACCTCCACTTCTCAACATTGAGAGCTAGAGCGCAGACGAGGGATACTCATAATAACTGTGCGTTAATGCTCCTTAGCCCAGAACATACAGTTTGTTGACCTGTGCTTCAGGAAGGGAAGGCACAGCGGCAGGTGAGTTAATTGAGTACTCAACTCATTCTCCATCCTGGCTTTTTGCACGAGGTAATCATCTCACCCCAGTGCCTCTTGAGGCGTAGATTAAAACCATACTCTTTCGCCTAGAACCGTTTCTAGGCACGGGTGAGGTTGGCTATCCCTCCTTTGCACTGTAACTCTCAGTGTTAGATAGAAGATATGCCCTTCCCCTCCCCCCAACTACGTTTTCTAGCCGTTTTGTAGAAACAAGGATTGTGGCTCGGCGACTCGACTGGTCATACTATAAACAGATTGGACTATCATAAAAATGGGCAGAGTTGGATGGGGTGGGGATTGTTTACCGCAATAAGCTGAGTGATACTCACTTTACGCCCAATATTACGAACACATCTTACAGGCAGGACAACAGAGTAGTTGAGAGCATCGGTGGTTTTGAACGGATTGAAAACAATCTGGTTTTTTTTTTTCAGGTACAGACTGCGGCCATGATTTCATAGGCTCTTGCTTGAAAAGCTTTGGAGCAAAATGCTCAAAACGTACTCGCTACGAAACGAGTTCCTTCAAGAGTATGATATGCACTCACCGATTGTGGTTGGAGTTTTAAAGGGCGTTCACTACTACTAGACGGATAACATAAGCTGAAAAGATCTCACCTCAGTTAGGAAATTAAAGAACAAACGCCAAGTAGGAGGTTCTTTATTCGAGAGCAGGGTAGAAGTGGTTTGTTGACCAATGGAGGCCGGATAGATGTTCAATTACGGTCTCAGGTACTGCTATCTGGCGACAATGGCGAAAGCCTATGAAGACCGTTTGAACTTCTGGGTGCACCTTTCTTTTTCCCTTGGCATTTTTTCATCGAAACTGAAACCGCAGAATAGGGGGATGCTGTTCTGCGGTTTCAGTTTCGATGGAAAAAGGCCAACTAATTGACTCACAACCCTTTGAAAGAGGACATAGCTCTGAAGAAGCAACTCGTATTGGTAACTCTTCCATCTGAATACGGAAAGTTCAACTTTTCCCAGCACACTTGTTTGATGTATTCATGGTAAGAAACTTTGACTGACCTGCCGCTTGAAGAGTTACAACACTAAGGAGCTTTTAAGGAAACGGTTTTCTGTTCATCTCCGTGTACGTGAACTCATCACTGCAGCGACGCTCCAAAAGGTCATGGCAGCCAAAATGGCATGGATAGACACGAGAAACAATGGTTGACCGCCAGCTTGAAGGGGAACACTCGCCTGGAATCCCCGCTAACGGCAGCCTATTCTATGTTATATCATTGGAAATCATGTGAAGTTATAGTGGAGGAAAGCTGAACGGGTTCTCTTCGAAAAGAAAAAGAAAAAAGCAAAGCCATTACATTAATCATTCCGTTGGGTATCGTCGGCTACAATTGTTCCGAATGCCCTGGGAGTTAGACGGATGCTGCGAAGGTAGAAAGTCTCGCCCTTTTGCCCGATCAAATCGCTCACCCATTTGTCGACATCTTCAAGAGATATAAGCGTTGATCGAAAAACCTGTGCGATATCGACCGAAGCGGTAGTTTGGCGGGACACATTCGGGTGCCCAGATTAATCCTAGCAAAATGATTCGAGCGCTTTCTTGACGATTGTTGTGACATGTTGGCGAACGCTGTCATGCAGTAAAATGATTTTGCGATTTCTTGGCTCTTTTTCGAGAATGAATCTGGAGCTTTGTTCTTTCTATGAATCACTTGTTTCTGTAATGATCGCCTGTGAACATCTGACATTTTTGCAGCAGCACAGATAACACCTTTCCGGCAATGTCGTCTAAATCACTGTCGTAGACCATATATATGTTGATGCAAATCGATGCAGATCGTACAGAATATTGTACACAGCCGTAAAACAAACAAAATTAGGCAAAAGTTTTTAGACGGTTCTCAGAGTACAACTACACAAGCTCAGAGTGCCGGATCCTCCACATACGAAGCAACTTCATGGAGGCCAACAGAGAGGAAAATGCTGTGTCTTGGTGGGTTTGGTGTGTTAAGAAAGTAAAACCATTGTCCAAGTTAATTAGTTGCACTGAGTAGCCAACCTGCAACGTAAAACGCCAATGACGGCATGACATCACTCGCTAGTCAAAAATCACCAGAGCCCTTCCGCACATGCACCTTAAACGAACGTTTCCGACATCTCCTTGACAAGCAGGCCCTGACATGGCTTCCAAAATCTACTGATAAGAGTAGACAGGACAAATAAAAATGATCCAGACGGACTAGAAAGGATTAGCCCAAAGGGTAAGGTCTCAAGTTGGTGAAGCTGCAACATCGTCCTCCGTGTGCCAGTCGCGTCGTCACTATTCAATGTCCCTCAAAGAGTCGCGCCTACCATTGTTCCGAGGCTTACCGAAGAGGGAAAAATCAATTCTAACAGCATTAAATCATTACTGAGCTCAGCATCTGTATTCTTCTGTTCTAAGCATATTTTGAGTAGCATGATGCACACTGAGCAACGATAATCTTCAAAAGGCCTCATTAATACGTTTCTTCTTTCGTTCTACCGCACCTTTTCTGACAAGGCGAAGTTTTGAAAGGTTAGCGGGTACGGCATTGCTGGCTGCAATACGACCGTGGACCTTACAGGAGCAGAGTAAAAAGGCTACACTTTNAAAATCAAT